CACACACACACACACACACACACACACACACACACACACACACACACACACACACACACACACACAGCACGGGCAGCAGGGTCACCCCCCAGCGCCACGCTCCATAAAGGGCGCCGTTACAAAAGGTTTACTGTTACTGAGACGAGAGCCGGGACACAACAGGACCAACGGTTCTGGACTGAGTCCTGTCCTCTTCTCACTGGACTGCAGAGGGAACAGACCGAGGCCGGACAGCATGGTACCAGAGGACCGGCCTGGAGGTGAGTCAGCTCAGTGGGGGTGGGGGGCAGGAGGGGGACCTCCGCCTCGGTTTCTCTCTGTGATAAATGGGTGAAGAAKGGGGTCTTCAAATGGTTCACAAACCAAATCTGGACACATTTGATCTGGATTACAGTATTAAAATTTAAGAGGCGCAGCTTGTTAGGCCTTAATGGTGAGGGGTCTGAAATGGTGGTCCAGATCCAGACCCAAGAGTGGTGGTCTGTCAATGTTTGTAGAAGTTAGGACCAGAATCCAGACTGACAAGGAGCTCGAGAAAATTAAACTTAACTTGTGTTAGAATACAACAAAAATGTTGACGTGGCAACAAAAACTTGAGACTAAACACTGGAGGATAAGAAATGAGGAGAACCGACCGACAGGGCACCAAGTGTAAAAAAAAAAAAAAATGTTCAAAAATGTCACGAACACGTTTTCACTATTGAAGTTTCTGAGTCTCAGTGCAATTGCTAATGATGCTAACACTGCTAACATTGCCAATGTTGCTAACTTTGCTAACACTGTCAATGCTAGTAATCTTGCTAAAKATGGTATTTAAAATCTGAATTCAAAATGAGTTCAATGAGAACAACAGGAATCGTTACTGTTTGATGTGCAACTTGGACTCGGGCTGCAACTGCCTGTTTGACGTCTTATAGTGAAGCGTTAGCAGTGTTAGCAGTAGCAGCGTTAGCAGCATTAGTGTTTGTTTATTTCGCAGGATGATGACATCACAGGAGCCGAGCACCGACAGCAAGAGTTCCGTGTAAACCTTACAATTTAATTACATTTACATTTAAATGTTCAAATTTAGATTTACACATTTAGATTTAGGATTAAACATTTAGATATAACATTTAACATGTAAAATTAACGTTTAGTAAAAATTAGCAAAATGTAGCTAAATGTAAGAAATAAACATTAAAATAAACTATTAAAACCACCTGGACCTGAATCGTCCTGATCCGGGTTTTGATTTTTAGTTTTTTTAGTTTTGTTTGTCTTGTTTTGTTTTCACGTTTACCTTGAGTTTAGTTTGTATTCTTTGGTTTCAGCTTTGTGTTATTTTGTGAGTCCTCTGTCAGTCATCCAGCTACGCCCAGCTACACCTGTTTTCTGTTCCATTTGACACAGCTGCAGGATGGATGATTGATTGGATGGATGGATCAATGGTTGGTTGGATGGATGGATGGATGGATGGATGGATGGATGGATGGATGGATGGATGGTTGATTGGTTGGTTGGTTATTTCGATGGTTGGTTGGTTGGTTGGTTCGATGGTTGGTTGGTTGAATGGATGGTTGGTTGGTTGGTTGGTTGGTTGGTTGAATGGATTGTTGGTTGGTTAGGTAGTAGGTTGGATGGGTGGATGGCTGGCTGGATGGATGGTTGGTTGGTTGGTTTGATGGATTGTTGGTTGGTTGGATTGTAGGTTGGATGGATGGATGGCTGGATGGATGGTTGGTTGGATGGATGGTTGGTTCAATGGCTGGTTGAATGGTTGGTTGGATGGATGGATGGTTGGTTGGTTGGATGGATGGTTGGTTCAATGGCTGGTTGAATGGTTGGTTGGATGGATGGTTGGTTGGTTGAATGGGTAGTTGGTTGGTTGGTGGATGGATGGATGGATGGATGGATGGATGGATGGATGGATGGATCGAGCAGCTTATTTTCTCATCAGTCCGAGGTGTGAAGAACATCGTTTGCATTTAAAGAGACAGCACCAAAACGAGTTGATCTGAGACACGCCTCAAAAAAGGGGTGGGGCTTGTGGAGCTAAGATAACCAGGAATTCAGAAAAAAGCGTTGCAGTCCCAGTCTATAAAGAGCCCAACAGAAGGATTTAAAGCATCATGTTTCCACTGGTTTTGTTTAAGCTGAAAACAAAGATCAGCTGCTAAATGTTACTTCCTCACGTTTACAGTAATAATTAAAAAGGACATTATTTATGCAACAGGTGACTTCTGCTCGTACCTGTTCACCGGTTGATGGGTTCCCCCTGCAGAGACAAGCTGCCAGCCTGTCCTTCTGCAGGCGGACTTCGTTGAATTTTAATTAGAAGCTTAGTTGACAGCCGAGAACCTGACAGAAAGATTTATGTCTTTTTGAGTTCGAGTCAGTTTCAATCGTTTTGTCGTTTTCACAGAAATCAGTTTCAAATTGGTTTTTGTGACGTTACAATTTCAATTTGCCTCATTACCCCGAGACTGATCGTCACGCTGAGGAGAGGAGTGACGGCAGGTGATGAAGAGCTGAGAGGAGAAGAGGTTTTAAAATAGTGAGGGGAGAGCAGGTGGG